TACAAAAGCTGTATATTCTACACACAGGTGACACATGTATTAGAGACGTGCACAGGTTTTAATGATAGTGGCGTATTCTATCTGTCTAAGAAGTCTCTGTGTGGCGCAAAGTGTTAACTGTTCGAATATGAGCAGAAAGGATGACTGTTTGAACCCAGCCAGAAGTACATTGAAGGATTTGCTTCTGTAAGTTTGATAACCCTATGGAGAACTACTCTGGCCACTGCCTGGAACTGACTCAATGGTAATTAACAACCCTTTTCTCCTCAGGGGTCCCTGACAGATCCCAGGCTGGCAAACACACTCGTCTTCTTCAGCAGATGGCGCTGTCTAGAATCAGTTCTCCCTTGGAGTTCCAGTGCTGAAGTCTGATGGCCCACTCATTTCTCCTTCTTCATTTAGTGTTCTGCTTGGTCTTTCCTCTCCTCCCAAGTTCTTTCCTTTCAGATTTGCTTCCCTTCCACCCGTCTTTAAACACAACATGGTTTTTACTTGTGAAAGTTAAAAAATATATTGAACTTGACAAAATATTGTAAACTGCTTTTCAAACAAGCATAATTGATATCTGTTCACATCCTCATTTTCTTTGACACTGAATTTCCTGGAAATTAAAATGATTCTTGTCTTATCCTGTTGTAGGGCTGCAGGATAAGCACTGGACTGCAAGTTTGGTGGTTCAAACTCACCAGTCGCTCCTTGGAAAGCCTATACAGGGTCACTAAGAGTCAAAACCGACTCAACGACACTAACAACAACGTCTGTGAATATAGACACTTAGCTTACTTACGGAACATTTACTAAGCATGTTGTTTTAAAGTATCCATTGGCTGAATTCCTAGTTTCAACAAAAAGTTTGTGGGAAAATGTAATGAAAAATCTCCATGAACTTTTTGAAAACCCCCCTTGTGTTCCATTGCATTTTAACTATGGCAAGACTTTGCCATCTTGCTTTTTTCCTAAAAGAATATTGTAGGAAAAAATAGAACACATTAACTCTGATAAATTTGCATTTAGACTTTTGGCAGAATCATAAAAACAATGAATAATTTCACCTTAGTGAACTGAGGAAATAGCTCCTCGATGCAATGACATATGGTGCAAAGGATAGCTTTCGAAGCCTGGGGAATGGTGTACCGCAACATTCTGTGAAGAATACTGAATAGGTGTGGACTGGGGGAAGAACAGACAACTTAGAAATGAGGGTGACAGGACATCATCTCATGTACTTTGGACATTTTATCAGGAGGGACTGGTCCCTGGTGAAGGACATCATGCTTGTTAAAGTAGGTCAGTGACAAAGAGGACAGTCCTCAGTGAGATGGACGGACAAACTGTCTGCAACAGTGGGCTCAAATACAACTGTGAGGAAGGCGCAGGACTGGGCAGAGATTCCTTCTGCTGGGTTTGCGCTGGAATGACTCAATGGCACCTAACGAAGACACTCACAAGGGACACCCGGAAGGAAGGGCTGTATTCCCGTGGGGGTAAAGTCATTCTTGGAACCTAATCAATAGCTCATCTCATCTGTCACTTGAGAGATTTAAAGTCATAGTGCATTTCTGCAGAGCTAGGGAAAAGGCTCATTATTGGTTGAAACTGCAGTGATCAGTTTGGTGCATCCCAGAGACGCCCCAGAATTGGAGCCAATGTTGGAGAGAAATGAAACCTTGGTATCAGACTGAATTCACTCTCAGATTAAAGTTTCTTTACCCCACTTGCCATCAAGGTAATTCCAACTCGCAGTGACCCTGTAGAGCAGGGAAGAACTGCCCATAGGGTTCCCAAGGCTGTCATTTTACAGAAGCAGATTGTCATATCCCTCCCTCTCAGTGCCTGGTGGGTTCAAATGAACAACTTTATGGTTAGCAGCCGAGTGCTTAACCTTGGTGCTAGCATGGCTTCTTAAAGTCTCTTTAGCTAAGACTAATGTATTCAGGAGTCCTGGTTGCACTGTGGATTGGGTGTTGGGCTGCAAACCCCAAGGTTGGTGGTTCAAACCCACTAACCACTCAGTGGGAGAAAGATGAGGCTGTATGCTCCCGTAAAGATTTACTCTCAGAAAACTTGTTGAGATTTACTGTGAGTAGAAGTTGACTCGATGTTGTATTCATAGAGTTTCCCCAGTTTGTATTCCTGAGTTACTGGGGTCCACGAGGAGACCATGTGTGCATCAGTCCTGGGCTAGACCCAGGAGCTGTTAGCACCATCACCAGGCAAGCTGGACAGCATCGGAGTTCTGCCTTCAGGTTTTCCTTTCTTCCTAGCTTTGCTGTGCTGAATCCTATGTGCAGAACAGAGCAGTAGGGACTAGATCCCACAGTAAAATGGTCCAGAAAAAGGAAGTGAGCAAAACCAAACCAAACCATGAACCCTTTGCTCTCCTGCCTGTGCTTTTTGTGTGGTTTCATATTGAAGATGCTCAGACGCCACAGTGGTTTGCTCCCTTCCATGGTTCAGTTGCCCTCAAGGGTCCGTCCCTGACTCATGCCAACCTCACACACACAAACGCTGCAGGATCTTGCACCGTGCCCGTGATGCTTCGCTATGATCCTGAGTGTTTTCACTGACTGAGTTTTGGAAGTAGACCACTAGCCTTTTCTTCTAGTGTCTTAATCCATCCGAGTTGGGAAGCTCTGCTGAAACCTTTCCTGAATCCTGGCTGTCTTCAGGACCGGGTGGCAGTACAGAGGAATCAGACAGTAGCTAGCAGAATGCCTGGCACCCAGGCAGTGTCTGGTAAATACCAGCTACTGCCCTGGGGGGAGTGGCTGAGGCCAAAACTACAGTCACTGCTTCTTAAAACAACAACAAAAACAACTGTCTTTGAGTCAACTCCAACTCACTGCAGCCAAGTATATGATCTGCTCCACAGGGTTTCTGAGACTGTGAGTGAACCTTCACGAGAGCAGACAGCCTCATCTTTCTCCTATGGAGTGGCTAACCTGCAGTTAACAGCCCAATGCTTAATCCACTGCACCATTGTGTTGTTGTTAGGTGCCATCGAGTCAGTACCGACTCATAGCTACCTTATATACAGCAGAATGAAACACTGCCCGGTCCTGGGCCAATCTCACAATTGTTGCCATGCTTGAGCCCACTGATGCTGCCGCTTGCCAATCCATCTCACTGGGGGTCTTCCTCTTTTTCTCTGACCCTCTCCCTTACCAAACATGATATCCGTCTCCAATGACTGGTCCCTCCTGATAATATGTCTGAAGTATGAGAGACAAAGTTTGGCCATCTTGGCCTCCAAGGAGCTCTCTGGCTGCACTTCTTCCAACACAGATCTGTTGGTTCTTTTGGCAGTCCATGGCACTTTCTAAATTCTCCTCCAAAACCATAACTCAAAAGCACCATGAGGCCCCTTAAATTCCCTTCCAATTGAAGGAGAAGACAGAAGACACAGCACTGATCCATGACAGGAGAAAAGGCCAGCTCAAAATTCCATTCCCAGAGGAGGAGGTGGTGATCAAAGACGCAGCAAGCGTCTGTCTCCTACATTACAGTCATGCTGAGCTGGGGCAGGCAAAGACAGAGTTGGAAGAACTACACTGGCAGTGGGTGAGGACTGCCAACAACCAGAGAACCAGAACCAAACCCAAAACCCAAACCTACTGCTATCCCGCCGATTCCCATTCCTAGCGACCCTATGGGACAGCCTGCAACTGTTCCCTTGGGTTTCTGAGGCTGGAAATATTTATGGAAGCAGACTGCCTTGTCTTCTCCATCGGAGCTGCTGTTAGGTTGCAACTGCTGACCTTATGGTTTAACAGTACAGTGCTTAACCGCCAGCACCACCGGAACTCCTCCGAGAACAAGAAATGAAAAGAAATCAATCCTTAATCGAACAAAAAGTCTTCTTTCTTCCCTTACTCAAAGGAGCCCTGGTGGTGCAGTGGTTAAGCGCTCAGCTGCCAACTGCAAGGTTGGTAGTTCCAACCCACCAGCTGCTCAGCAGAAAGACAATGTGGCAGTCTCCTTCCCTAGAGATAACAACCTTGGAAACCCATGGGGCCATTCTACGGTAGCCTACGGGGGGATCGATGAGTCGCAGTTGATTTATTGGCAATGGGTTTGGTTTGCTTTAACCCATTCAGTTGATAAAATAATGTGCTGTGATCTCAACAAATTCTTCTGTGCATTTACAATAAACTGGAAGCGAGAGAGCTGGGGGCATGAGTGAGTTTGGGGTCGTGTTCTGCCAACGGCAGGTGGAGAGTGAGTCTGTGAGACCTTCGTGGTGGTAGTCTGAGCACACTGCCACAGCTGGAGGGTGAGGGGGCTGTATCTGCACCTAATGGGGTGGTCCAGGTGAGGGGATCACCTACCAGAGGGGTCTTGCCTACCAGTGGGAAGAATGGAGGCAGCTCTGATCCCCAAAGATAAAGGAAAGTGGCCTGGTGGCCTTCACGTCTCTGCAGGGCCACCTGCTTCCAGTCACACCAGGTAACATCCATGGTGTTTGTAAGAGGTCCCTCTAGCTAGTCATCACTCTGCAGTCACCTGGACTGCCCTCGCAGCCAGGTTTCCATGGGCACTGACTGTGTTGGCACCTTTGTGGATTCTCCAATCATAAGTGGAAGATGGCACATTGAAATGTTTTAAAGCACCCTATAAAAAGGTGTACTGTTCTCCTCTGCCCCTCTCCTGACACCTTGTAAGCCACTTGGGGCACATCACCGCTGCTGGCCCTAACAAGGGACATGATAAATATGTGAACCGACACACAGAAAAATCAGGGTCAGGTCAACTTGGAGTGAGTGACTGTTCCTGCTTTTGCCATTTCCTGTCTTGGATCTGCGGCCAGACTTGGGGTGCAGGTGAACTATCATCGACAGTTCCACCCCTGATGAGAGACTCCCCCAGGGAGGAGGCAGGACTGGCCCAAGGAGCTAGGGATGTGAACCCATGCTGAAACCCCAGAGCTCCCTGCGGACACACACAGATGGAAAACCCTGACGCTGCCACTCGGGAAGGGGTTGACGGCTTGTTCGCATCACCTGGTCCTGGGATTTCTTTTTCTTCTTCTTCTTGCCCCAGCACCCGGAACTCTCTGCGTCCTTGCCGTTGGCCTCGCTACACAGCAGTCCATCCAGCTCGTCCGTGCCCATGTGCTGTCCCTGAGTGGTCTCTGCTGCGAGCCGGTAGGAGAGGTTCCTTAGGATGCACACACAGTTTTCAACGGTCTGTGGACACGAGAGAGAGCAAAGGGCAGGGGAGGAGTGAATACCCAGTGGGACTTTTTTGCTGAGAAAAACACTCCGTGTGCACACAAGCACACACATAGGTACACAGACACAAACATATATACACACACACTTACATGTACACATGTGTACAAACACATGCATATGGACATGCACTCCTCTGGAGGCTCTTCACTGCTGATTTCTACAGCATCCCTGACACTCATAGCAGAAAGAACTGAGCAAAGATTGGAAAGGTCTGAAGACGTACCTCTCTCTCCCAACGAAACAACTTCTCAGCAACAGTTACTTCTATAAACATCTATCCCTGTTGACTGAAGTTCACATGCCAATGGGGCCCGAGGGGAACGTAAACCAACCATCAGATGTTCCCAAAGTGCCCCCCCCCCCATTTATAGATGACTCCTACTTGTGGATCAGGGCTCAGGATCATAGATTGTTACCATTAAGTACCATCGAGTCAATTCTGACTCAGAGTGACCCTGTAAAGGGTTTCCGAGGCTTTAAATCTTTGCAGGAGCAGAAAGCCTCATCTTTCTCCCTCGGATTCAATGTTGTTATTGGTGTTAAATGCCATCAAGTCAGATATGATTCATAGCAACCAGGTATAGGGTTTCCGAGGAACAGTTGGTGGGTTTGAACCACTGGTCGTGTGGCTCACAGTCTAGTGCTGGTCCTACAGTGCCACAGCCCAGGCTCCATTTGTTATTGTTAGGTGCCATCAAGTCCACTCATAGTGACCCTATACAACAGAATAAAACACCACCTGGTCCCACACCACCCTCACAACTGCTGCTACGCTCAAGCCCACTGCTGCTGCCACTATGCCAACCCATCTCGTTGGGGTTTCCCTCATTTTGCGGACTCTCCACTTTACCAAGCATGTTGTCCCTCCTGATAAAATTCTCCAGCTCTGGGAAGGTGACACTAATGTTTACTGACCACCAGGACACTTCCTGGTTGGAAAAAGGGACAACAGCTACAAGCCAGGTCACCCGAGGTAAGCAGGTGCTGTGGGCACTGAAGGGCATCAGTGTTTTCACCTTTCCATGCTTTTCGAGACAGAGTTGGTAGAAGTTAGCAGTCTATGAGTACCGGCTGTGTGGTTCTGGGTAATGCACTGCCCTCTCCAATCTCAGTGAAATGGAGATGATGTAAGAGCACCTACATTTCAGGTGTGTAGTGAGGGTCAGGTGAGCTAACACAGAGATGTGTAGTAGGTAGAATAATGCCCCACAGAGACGCACAGGTGCTGATACTAGGATCGTGTGAACATGCTATGTTACGGGGTGAGGGGGGAAATACAGTTGCCTCTGGGGGAGTGGGGAGATGAACCTGGACTCTCATGGAGCCCAGTGTACTCACAGCACCATCATAAGTGGAATAATGAGGCAGGAGCATCAGCTATATGGTGTGAGAAAGTCACTGTGAAGGTCAATGATTTGGGTTAATTTGGTGAGGCCATGATCATCAGCGGTTTGTCATGTAATCAACTTGTATTGTGATTGTATATATAGTATGCCTACTGATGAAGATGAGTGTGTATATATATATATATGTATATATACACATATGTGCGTATGTACACACTTACAGATGTGTGTAGGTCAAAGACCACAGCCTTTGGTATGGGCTGCACCTCATTGTAAAGAAAACAAAAATCCTCATCACAGCATCATGACAAATGGAGAAAAGATGGAGGTTGTCAAAGACTTCATTTTGCTTGAACCAATATCAACACTCAGGGAAGCAGTTATCTAGAAATCAAATGACATATTGCACTAGGCAAATCTGTTGCATAAGACCTCTTTAAAGTGTTCAGGAGCAAAGATGTCATTTTCAGGACTAAGGTGCACCTGACCCAAGCCATGGTATCTTCAATAACCTCATATGCATACGAAAGTTGTACAGTGAATAAGGAAGACAGTAGAGGAATAAATGCATGTGAGTTATGGTGTTGGAGGAGAATATTAAAAGTACATGGACTGCCAAAAGAACAAACAAGTCTACGTTGGAAGAAGTACAACCAGGTTGCTCCATAGAAGCCAGGATGGCCAGCATTCATCTCTCATACTTCTAACATAGCATCAAGAGGGACCAGTCCCTGGAGAAGGATATCGTGTTTGGTAAAGTGGCAGGTCAGAGAAAAAGAGGAAGACCCCCAACGAGATGGAATGGCACAGTGGCAGCTGCGATGGGCTCAAGCCTAGCAATGATTGTGAGGTTGGCACAAGACCGGACGATGTTTCATTGTGTTGTGCATAAATAATGTTGCTATGAGTTGGTACCTACTTGACGGCACCTGACAATAACAACAACAACATTTATATATACTTGTGTAAACTTTACTGACTCTGTTCCTCTGAAGAACCCAAACTAAGACCAACCTGACTAGCCATTACTAGCTTTGGTGCTGGAGGAAGGACTATGAGCCAAGGAATATGGGTGGCCTCCAAAAGCAAGAAAAAGCGAAGAAATGGAGACCTAAGAAGGAACACAGTCCTTTCAACACCTAGATTTTAGCCCCGTGCCACCCACTGTAACTTCTTACCTATAAGAACTCTGTAAGAAATGTAAGAACTCTGTGTCTTAAGTCACCAAGTTTGTTCCAGCAGCCACAGAAACCGCTGAGATAAACACCTGAGACAGAGTCAACACCACACAAGGGCTTGTAGCATGGGTGCTCTGGTAGGTCTCTAGCATGCACTCTTGAGCTACTCTGCTCAGGTTCCAGTCTTGGCTCTGCCACTTAATGAGCTGAGCTGGTGGCCTTCAGCAGAGCTCCTCACAGCATTCCAGGAAGGTAGATGCCATTATGAACATCTCCATTTCCCAGAGGGGGAAACGGAGGCACAGAGAGAGCATTGTGTTTCTGGGTCCTTGTCTGTAAGCTGGGGGTACAGCTTCACAGGGCTACCACGAGGACTGACTGAACAGCTGTAGGGCTTATAGAACAGCGCCCAGCACCCGAGGGGTTTCAGAAAGCTCGTGGGAAACTCCACTGTCTTGTAATTTCATTTGTCCATGAATTTCTGAAGCCCTCATATAATATATGTAGACAAGTGACTTGCTATTACCATCAGAAATAAAGTTGGGAATTTCAGAAATGAGCAGTTCTAATCTTTTCTGATTGTGAAAGGCAAGGACCAGCAAACTTTGGCCCATGGACCAAACATACCTGCTTTTTGTAAAAACACAGACTCGTTTGCTAGTGCAGTGTCTATGGCACTGAAGATAGGAGTCCTGGTATGGCACTGTATCATAAGCACTAGACTGCTAACAACAAGGTGGGCAGTTCAAACTCACCAGCCGCTCCTTGGAAACCCTGTACAGGGTTCGCTATGAGTTGGAACCGATGGCACTTAACAACAATATAGCTTCTTACACAAGACGTGGGCCAAGTTAAATTGTTTCCGTAGACACTACTTGGTCTCAGTCTAAAATATTTATTATCAAGTCCTTTAATGCTGCCCTGCCCCCCCCCCCAAATTGTTGACTCCCATATTAAGAGCAAAATGGACCTTTTAACTTTTTTTTATGACTCAAGAAACCATGGAGAAAAAGAAAAAAAAAAATCACCAATGTAATGACGTGGACAAAATAATGGCGGAAGAAATTAAGTCGTGTTTAGTGCAAAGTTGGTTTGAATCGCAAGTTTGGTGAGTCAAGCTCAACAGTTGCTCCTAGGAAACCCTATACAGGGTCGCTATGGGTCTGTTAAGACTGTACACTTAACAACAAAAACAAGTTTTATTTGGGAGCGCAGTGGCTCCATGGGATAAGCACTGGGCTGCAAACCACAAGGTAGGTGATTAGATCCCACTGACCACACTGTGGGAGAAAGATGAGGCTATCTACTCCCACAAAAGATTTACAGTCTCAGAAACCCTATATGGGATGTTTGTGAGTCATAACTGACTCTGCAGTACTTAACAACAACAACAACAACAGATTAGTTTCGGGGCCTCTGGGTTGTACACTTCACTGTTAACTAAAGTTGGAGGTTCAAGACCACCCAGATACCCCTTGGAAGGCCTGGTGATTTGCTTCAAAAAAAATCTGCCTTTGAAACCTCTGTGAAGCACAGTTCTGTTCTGAGACACTGGGGTCGCCAAGAGTTGGAACTGATTGATGGCAATCATGTTCTTGAAGTTATATTCCTTAAGCCATCGATTGAGTAGCATTTTATGTTGAGCCTTTTACCCTGTGGCAGCCAGCCTTGAAGACTGGTACCTAGTTCCATGTAACAGATGAAGAAAATGATGTTCAAAAGTGTGGGTAACTCGTGTTTGTGCCACTTCTCTGTGGTACTGGGGGCAGCGTTGGGTCTAGCCTCTTCACTGGAGCCTAACCACTAGGGTTTAAAGCAGATACACATTTCCCTCATACCTGTTCCCTAGTGAAAGGAAGGTAACTTGGCTAGTGGGAGTTTACAGAACACAATTAGGAAACCCAGTTCTCCAGATTTATTTCTGGAGTCTGGGCCATTCTTGACCTCTCTCTCCAATCTCAGAGGTTCCATGAACTGCTAATCCCATGGGCTCTGAGTCAACCTGATTTTCTACTTCAAGCATTTGCTCAGCATCAAAGAAAAGTCCAGCATGAAAGCAGGTAAACACAGGACAATTGAGACATGAAAGATAGAAAAGTCACTCATTGGAAGAAAACTGTTATGATATTAAGTCGGAACGATGCTTGAATCAGCTCAAACTGGGTTCCCTTATATCAAAACCTTTGGAGAAAAAAAATAAAACAGTTCTTTCTCCTCCAGCTGTTCATCTTTTAACAGACGACAGCTGGGGAATAAACCCACAGTTTCTAGGAAAATGCTTTATAATCTACTTGTGGAGGGGAGATGATTAGGGAGAGGAAGTGGGGGTTGTGGAGGATGAGGAGGAGAGAGAAGACATTGAAGAGAGGTGGAGGACAGAGGCACAGGAATTGAATTTCCCCTCCCATTCAGTTTCCTGGAGCTTTGCAGTCTGCCTTGGTTTTGGGTGGGATACCAATTTGCAGGCTTTTCTCTAACGGGGTTGGGTGAAAAGAAGAAAAACACAGCATCCAGCTGATCATTTTATTTTTGACATTTGTTCCTGTCAACAGTACTTTTCTCAGTTACTCTTGGTCACTGGGGTCATTTTGACTCCTTATTTTCTATTAGAAAGGGCTAATTTGGAAGTCGTCTGTGGAGTATTTCACCATATGCTCCCCGTTCAATAAACTGTTCCAATTATCAGAGCCGAGCAGGGAGCTTGCCTAGAATCTGGGCTCTCTGATTCATTAACTACATTGGCTTTAAAGAGGACGTGTACTCATTTGTCCCCTCCAACTTGTCATCGTGAAAGCTCAGATATAGCTGAGCAGAAGGCTGAGTGGAAAATCATGCTGCAATAATAATACGTTAAAACTCAATAGCACATCCTGGTCATTGAAACACTGAGTTCACTTGTGTCTGGGCTGGGGCTGACACCATCAACCACTGCTATCCTGACTCCAAGCTCCGTTCTCTTTCTACTCAATCCCTGAACACTGCGTATTCTAACACCAGCCCAGTATCCCTGTCGTCTTTAAGTCGACTCCAACTCATGGTGACCCCTTGTATGTCAGAGCAGAACAGTGGCTGATTTTCAAAACCAGATCTAGTGCTCGACCTTTCTTTCAAGGGGACTTGGAATGGACCTGACTCTCTAACCTTTTGATTAGCAGCTGAGTACGCTGACTGGTTACACCATCCAAGCACACCTCTAACCCTCAATAGTCCCAGTTTATTCACTTTCTTCTTTGAAGGAAAATGTGGACTCCCAAGGTCTTGGAGTTCTTGGAGGCTGGTCATCCGATACACCAGAAAAACGATGGTTTTCCAGGGAGCACTCTGTCCTGGAACCTTCTCCTGAAGATCGCCATGACACCAGCAATGGCGGCATGGGCTCTGGCCCAATGGAGAGGTTGGTAGCTCTTAATTTATTATCATTTTCAGGGCCCAGATCATACTAAAGCTCTTTTGGAATCCAACTGTCTTAATTGTCTAATGCTCCATAACAGAAATATCCCAAGTGATGGCTTTAACAAACAGAAATCTATTCTCTCATTGTTGTTAAGTGCTATCGAGTCACTTTCAACTCATAGAGATCCTGCATAGGGTTTCCAAGGAATGGCTGGTGAGTTTCAACCCCTGAACCTGTGGTTCAAACCGACTTTGTGACCCAGTGTCTTATCCCACAGTGCCACATCAGGACTCAAGAGTTTAGGAGTCAAGAAGTTTGGATTCCAGACTTTTCCAAAAGGGATGGCTTTGTCTGTCAGCTCTGGAAGAAGGTCCTTGTCCTCAATCTTCCCCTGGGTCTAGGAGCTTCTCGGCACAAGGGCTTTGGGCCCAAAGGATGCACCCTATTCCTGGCTCTTTATTGGAGATAGGAGGTCTCTCGGATCCCTCCTACCTTGTTTAATCTCTTTTATGTCTCAAGAGACTGACTCAAGATAAAATCTAACCCTATAGAGTGTATCCTGCCTGACGAACATAACTCCATAAATTTTGCCTCATCAACATCCTAGAGTTCCTAGAGGCTGGGATTTATAACACATCGGATAATTACATTGGGTGACAAATTGTGGGCAATTACACCAGATCACACGTGAAGGCTAATTCTATCAGATCATATGTGGAGGATAATTACATCAGATCACATGTGGCGGGCAATTACATCAGATCACATATGGAGGGTAGTTACATCAGATCACATGTGGAGGATAATTATATCAGATCAATGTGGAGGGTAATTACATAACCCTGAGATCCATGATTTCTAGCCACATTGACACATATTTTGGAGGTGTGTAGGGGGGGACACAGTTCAATCCATGACACCATCCTAGCCAGAAGGCTTTTGTCCTAGTGCTTCAGTCTGCACCAGGGGACTTAAAAAATGTTTGTGGAAGAATTCTATTATCTCTTCATTCTAATTGCCCATGAACTTTTTGCAGTCTCCTCATAGTCTACATTCAGATGATTAAGATCCTTAGCATTCCTCTCTCAGTGGGTCTCCTTCAGCAGTTCTTTTAAAAACCATGTGTCTGATATGCTAACTAGCATCCGCAAATACTCAAGACATCTTGACTGCACACTGTCTTAGAGCTTTAATTTCTTTGTCAGTGATACAACAAAACAAAAATCCTAACATGGCCATTAAAGTCTTTCATAAATAAGGAATGCTTAAACCATTAATTTACTATACTTGGTCTTTGAAGTTTATAATAAATAGTAAATTAGTGGATGTAAACTTAATAGAGTGCCAGTGGTAATAGTAAAACAAAATTCAGAATTGGAAAAATGTGTACTGAAAAGGGTGGCATCCAGCAGATGTTATAAAGTGAAGTCTAATCTTGGTGGGGTAGGTAGGGCTCTGGCTCCAGGATTTCTGAAGTCTCTCTCAGTACTCTAATATGTAGTCAAGGTTGACAAGTGTTATGTGAAATCATCCCCATTACCAAATAATAATAGAATGGATGAAGTCACTCATTCTTGTTCTTCATCTGACTTTTTATGACTTTATGACTGATGGTTTTTGAGTTATGGTGTTGGAGGAGAATATTGAAACTGTCATGGACTGCCAAAAGAACCAACAGATCTGTGTTGGAAGAAGTGTAGCCAGAGTGCTCCTTGGAGGGCAGAATGGCCAAACTTCATCTCTCATACTTTGGACATATTGTCAGGAGGGACCAGTTGCTAGAGAAGGATATCATATTCGGTAAGGTGGAGAGTCAGAGAAAAAGTGGAAGACCCCCAGAGAGATGGATTGGCCAAGTGGCAGCATCAGTGGGCTCAAGCGTGGCAACAATTGTGAGGTTAGCCCAGGATTGGTAGTGTTTCGTTCTGTTGTGCAGAGGGTCACTATGAATTGGTACTGACTCAACGGCACCTAACAACAACAACAACAACTACTACAATTCTTGATTAGAGAGCGTGCTCCAAATCTGCACCTGCAAAGTCAAGGTTCATAGTCCAACATGAACATCACATCAACTGCTGACTCTGAGTCAGACGTTCTGAAACAGATGAGCTATGGATGGGCTTTGGCATGGGTATGTACTAAAAGTTCAATCTGCATTTCTGATGTAGAGCCAGTTGGAGACCATGGGATTAAAGCAGTGGTTCTCAACCAGGTCCACACTAGCTCCTCATAGGAAGTCTGGGAACCTCTGAAACATTTTAGATTGTTGTGGCTGGGAAGAGGGGTGTTCCTGGCAACTAGTGGGTAGAGGCCAGCGATGTTGCTTAACATCCTAGCACGCACAGGGCAGCATCCTGCAGCTATTAATTGTTGTTGTTACTAACTGCCATCAAGTCAAGCCAAATTATCATCAGTATCACTCTTGAGTAACTCTATATTGGAAGATCGCATCTATCACATAAATGGCTTTAACCATATTGGTAAAGTCAGCATCCTTGTCAGGATATCGTGAAGCGACTGTATCCATCTATATTCATGGTAGAAGAAAACTAACATAACCAAGATAAAACGTAATAGCTCAAACACAGGAAAGGTCCATCTGATTCTATTTTGACTGTGAACTCATGTATTTAATAGATATGGAGGAGGGAACATTTAGACAGCTTCATTCATTTAGACGTTGCCAGGCAGTTTTAAAAATGGCATCGGATACAATTAACAGTTGTTAAAACATAATTGATAAGAATATCATATTATTCAACTCCCAGTGGCTTTAATCACCCTTTTTCTTTTCACAGTGGATTCTGTGAAATCAAAGCTAGAGACTTGAAGGTAATGCGGCAAAAGTTGATGCACTTCTTTGGACAGACCTGTGGTTTTAATGCCTTAATACAAATTATTTCTCATTACTGATAATGAGTTACGGCTGCTACCAGCTTGCCAGGTTAGGTATGTTGTTGTTAAGTGCCTTTGAGTTTGTTCTGACTCATAGTGACCCTGTTCAGGGTTTCCAGAGCTAGAGTCTTGGGAGCTTTGTGGAAACAGAAATCTTAGCAAATCTTTACAAAGTCCTACAAAGATTTGTGGGAGCAGAAAACCTCATCTTTCTTTTGTGGAGTGGCTGGTGGGCTCGAACCATTTGGTTCATAGTCCAGTGCTTATTACATGGAGCCACAGTGCTCTGATAAACCAGGATTAGGGGCCCTGTTTAGAATCTACCGGATGCATGCAAGGGAACTTTGCATAAAAGCAAAGTATGAGGGGGCTTCAAACAGTCCATGACCTTTTCATTCTATTTCCTACAAACTTTTTGAAGGTCCTTCATATTAAACACTGCATTCATTGCCCATTGTGGTTACCCAGTCTATTCCATTGGGCACCTGTATTCCTGAACATCCTCAATCAAGGCAAAGACAACAACAGACCTTGCTATCAATCTCGCTGCTTCCCAGGGCAGACTGAATCACGTACAGCAACGCGTCTGTGAGTCCATCACATTCCCGCATCCTGCGGCGGGCCTCCTCTCCAGCCGAACTCACATTCCTGCAAAGCAAAAGGACATGTCAGCAGTCAGCAACTTCCACGGACTGTCACCAAAAGACCCTCCCTCCAGGCCTGCTTCCCCCAACCATTTCAAGGCAACACTTTGCTTGTTTTTTGCTGCCGGTGTGTCAAGAATCCAGCACAGATAATGGTTTCAAAGAATACATTCTAGAAATGGCAAACCATGGGTATCTTCCATGCAACCTGTGCAATCGAGAATGCAGAACTCCTAATGAGAATATAGTTGTGATGCACACGGATGGATGGCTTCAACAAATAAATCCTAGAAATGGCAAGCCTTGGGTAATGCAACTCACAAAATAGAGAATGCAGAATCCCTGAAGACAATATAGTTGTGATGCCTACGGACAGCCTTCAGCAAACACCTGTGGCTTATTAGTCCTGTCATCTCAGTATGACAGACATCTGCATTCTCGGGATTCTAGAGCTGCGTCAGATATCCCTGTGGCTTTTGACATTCCTAGGATATATCTCTAAAGCAATTCTTGAACCAGAGCATGTGGAACTTTTAACACATGACACTCTGTCTTGAAATCTCCATTCTCAGCATCACAGGATACGAACAATCTTTAAGGTCTCCTCATTTACAATCCACTGGCGAATTGGAAATGTTTTGATTTCAAAGGATGCTTTTTCTTTGAAACGTTTGAAACATTGCTCAAAGGGAACATTTCCAACTATGAATGATTTTACAGGTCTGAAATTTGCCTGCCTCAGAAATTTACCTACCCTCTGGCCCAGCCAGGAAAAGACTGCTGTTCTTAAGTGTCTTTGGCTTGGTTCCAAGTTTCCAAGGAGTAACTGGTGGGTTTGAACCACTGAACTCACAGTTCAACTCCACCTTAGGGTCAAGTGCTTATCCTACAGCGCCACACCAGGACTTATAAGGACACAATTAGGGCTCAGTGTGTGTGCACTGATTGTTAGCTTCTGTGTGTGAAAATTTAGTCATTGGGACATTCGTGTCATCTCTGATGGCAGAGTGTCCTAAGCACTTTCCTGTAGGACCACAAAGGCTGAGGTAAGTGGAGGGACTAAGGACTATGTTGTTGTTGTCAAGTGCCGTTGAGTCGATTCCGACCCATAGCGACACTATGTAGGGTTTCCAAGAAGCAGCTGGTGAGCGTGAACCACTGACCGTGCAGTTCAACTGGCTTTGCAGTCTGATGCATTAGCCCACAGCACCACACCAGGACTCCAAGGACTATAGGAGGAGACTTTTAATGGAAATCATGGGTTGGAAGCAGAGGTCTCCTCTAGTCCTACCAAAGGTCTGAAGTAACTCTAGTGGCAGGGGAATTGCTGAGTCCTTTGAGTTACTCCACTCCCTGCAGGTATATTATTCTTCCTCTCCTCCTCATGGGCTAGGGTTTGATATCATTGGACAACGTCTTTGGGGATTGACATATGGCCAACTTAACCCAGAGGAGATGGGTTACTGAAAGGCGGAAAGGGACTGAAATGATTTAGAGAGTGTGGGGACAGCGCCAGAAAGAATGCTGTCAAACCCTCATGTGGAAGACCTACTGACCCTTAGTCACTTAACCGCAGTGTCACCAGTGATACCAGGTGTCACTTTGTGAGTCTATGAATCGGTGACATTAGCGCCACCTTGGAGAACATGCAGAACAGAGCACATCTCTACCGCCCACAATGAGTTGACACAGGTATTTCTACTTTGTCACAACATCCCCATGCTGCGGTACTGTCTTCGCTTTGACAGGCGAGAGCATTGAGGATCAAAAAGGTAGTTTCAGGCAACATAGCAAGCGAGGGGAGACGTCAGAACAAACCCACAGATTCCAGCTGTCATGTACAGTATGGGTAGACGATAGTTTTAGGAATTAAAGTAAAATAAAATCACCCTAGTGCTAAAATGCTACCAAGTGTAAATGTGTTCTTTAGTATTTCAAACATTGTTTTAAAGAATAACTATCCTGGTGTGGCACTGTAAAATCAACAGTGGACTGTTAACCACAAAGTCAGTGGTTCAAACCCACCAGCTGCTCTTTGGAAACCCTTTGTTGTTGTTCTTAAGTGCCGTCGAGTTTGTTCTGACCCATAGCGATCCTGTATAGGGTTTCCAAGGACCTACTGGTGAGCTTGAGCTGCCGCCTTTGTGGTTCAAACCAACTTTGCAGTTCAGTGCATTAATCCACAGCACCACACCAAGAGTTCTGGTGTAGAAACCCCATACAGGGTGGTCACGATGAATCAGAACCAATGAGAAGGCACTTAACAACAACAACAACATCAGTATTTTAATGTAACACTGGGAAAGGTTATTCAATTCAAATGACCATGTTGGGCATTTGCTGATCCTACTGCTTTTGAAAAGTAAGCAAAATTCCTTAGTTCCTCAGATAATAAAACAGTAAATACTGGTAGCATTTTTATGCCAACCTTCCTTTCTGCCAGGACCCCTGGGAGAGAGAAGGCAGTAATGACTCTGTTAGGGAAAAAGTTTTGAGAGAGATATCATTATGTACTAGAAGGATGGCTTTTCTTATGTACAAGAGTAGCTTTAAGTATTGCTCCCTGAAATGCTTTGACGCTGATACAGTAATAGGTTTGTCACAATATCCTGTCAGATCAGAATGTTGGGTGACAACATGGAGTCCTTTTTTTTTAATCTGAACTTTCTGCACTTTGATGAGGTCGTATTTCCAAAAGAAGGATCATGGTATGTACACTTGAAAGAGTCTTAGAGACAAGTTCATGCCCATGAAGTCCTGAAATATCCTCCAAACTCTCCCCAGACTGATGGGAGTCCTTCTTTTGTGAGCCCTTATCAGAGGCCCAAATCAAATGCATAATGATCTATCCTATTTATACTGGGAACCAATGAACGGCAGAGCTAACCAACAGGGAAAAAAGAAAAAAAAAAAAATGCAACCTAACATTGTTGCAGACATTGTAAGTTTGCTGACATTGTAAGTTAGGTGGCATTGTTGTTGACATTGTAAGCTTGCTGACATTGTAAATTAGCATTGTTACTGACATTGTAAGTTAGCATTTTTGCTTTATTCGAGTTTCTAGTTAATTCTTATATGTTAAGTGCTGTTGAGTTGGTTCTGACTCATAACAACCCTATATAGGGTTTCTAAGGAGCAGCTGGTGAGTTTGAACTGCTGACCTTGTGGTTCAAACCAATCTTGTGGTCCAGTGCTTTATCCCACAGCACCATACCAGGACTCCAGCACAGTGTGAGATGTGTCGAGTTGGGACTGACTCATAGTGACCAACAGAAAAAAAGGTTGCCCAGTCCTTCGCCATCCTCACAATCACTGTTAAGCATGAGCTCACTGCTGCTGCCTCTGGGTCAATCCATCTCATCATCCTCTTTTTTGTTGTCCCCCCCCCACTTTACCAAGCAATTCAAGTATGATGGCCATGTGCTGTGAAGTCAATTCTGACTCATAGCGACCCTGTATAGGGTTTCCAAGGCTGTAAATCTTTACTGGAGCAGAAAGCCTCATCTTTCTCCCGTGGAACAGCTGGTAGTTTCGAACTGCTGACCTTGCAGTTTGCAGCCTGATTCGTAACCACTATGTTACCAGAGCGCTTTAATTCTAGTATAAGCTCTTCCAAATTATTAAATGATTAACAACAAACTAATTTTCTACCGTATATAAATGCACAAACTACTGAGACATAAGAAAGATGAATAGGTTAAGGTTCCAGGCGGTGAGGGACTACACACACAGGGGACAGGAAGTTGTCACTATGTCTGCAGGAACTACAAGGGTCAATATATAACACGTATATATTTGTAAAAGGAGTCCTAGTGTGTGCATACCTCTTTTTCAGTGGCTAATAAGGAGCCCTGGTAGTGCTGTGGGTTAGGTATTTAGCTGTTAAACACAAGGTCAGCAGTTCAAACCTACCAGCTGGCCCATGGGAGAAAGATGGGGCTGTTTGTTCCCATAAAAACGTACAGTCTCAGAAACTGTAATCAGCTCAGTGGCAGTTGGCTTGGTTTTGGTTTGGGCAGTAATGGCCTACAAGCCTTTGGAGTGAGGTTCTCATGTTTCATCAACAGCTCTCGAATGAGAAGATACCCATCTTATGAATAAATTTGGTTTTCACTGCCTTACACACACAATCTTCTCTTTCAGTGAATGATACAAGACAGAGTAGTGTTTCATTCTGTTGTACACCGAGTGGCACCTTACAAGAGCAACAATAATAACTCTTTCAACTATGATTTTCAACCCTGGTTTGAGTGTATGGTTTAGGTTTCTGATGAACAAGGTGAAGTACAATCATGGTAGTTGTCATGGAAACAGCAACATCCTGCTGATAGCACATTACAATGCAACAAACACCATGACTTGAACCCAGCTCAAAGTTTACGTTTCTAAATACTTATTTACATATTTACAGTGAAAGTTACTGCATATTTCACTGCTTAAAAACAAAACAAAACAAATGAACAATAACATGTGTTGACCCGGAAACAGTTCGTTTTGATCATGATCCTAAATGAGCGTGTTTGTTAGAGTCAACGTCTGATCTATCAAGTGAGAGCTCACTGCTGCTATAGTTGACCTATAGTCTGCCCATCCTAATTGAGGTGTTTGCCATGTCGAGTAAGAACTTAGTGCAGCAAGATACTTGAATAAACACAGCATGAAAACAAACACTTGTAGAGAGCAGGTAAAAAGCACAAAGATTGGGATCATATCTCTTCTTAAGAAATTATCTTCACAATCTTGACTGAAATGTCAGTTGACGTGGTAACTGGAAATGTCTGCTTTAAGTGGATTCTAGAATACTTTCATTTAATGGATACAATAGGAACAGTTTATTTGTGGGTCTTCCGTTTAAAAATATCTGTCTTCTTGATTCAAATGCAACTGGTATTACATAGCTTTATCTTGCGTGTCTCTAGTGCTGCTGGCTGCCTCATTTCTCGGAGCCTCTGCCACTTACTGTATTTACTTCAAACAAATTCAATGTATTTGGATCTCATGGGG